AATATAATAGATTATTATTCAGTAAGAAATCACAACTACGAGGGATTCTGAGAAACTGGGGAAGTAAGAACTGATGCAGAGCACGATATATACAATCATTGATATATATGATAATGACAACAATAGAAATGAGAAACTCACTAGAGGGAAATCAGACTGAGTGATTATAAGAACCATCTTGGTTCCTGAGAGCAGATAATGAAACGTGCCTACTTGCTCTTGGCAGAGAGGCGGGGACACATGTCACATAGTCACTCTATTACTGGGCTTCAACTATTTTTATTTGTTAAGGAACATAATTTGACGGGGGGGGGAGTTGGTAGATGGGGAGGAAACAACAAGAAATTACTGTGATGTAGTAGCAAATGACCATAGTCATCTAGTGTTTGATAAACTCAAAGATTTAAGTTTTTGGGACAAGAACTCACCATTTGACAAAAATTGCTGTGAAGACTGGAAAGCAGTTTGGCAGAAAGAAAGCATGTACCAACATCTCCCACTGCATACCAAGATAAGGTCAAAATGGCTACATGATTTAGACATAAAGGGTGATAAGCAAATTAGGGGAGCGTGGAAAAATTTACCTGTCATATCTACGGATAAGGGAAAAAATTTATGATCAAACAAGAGACAGAGAGTACTTTGGGATGTAAAATAGATAGTTTTGATTACATGAAATTGGAAGGGGTTTGCACAAAATCAATACAGCCAAGATTAGAAGGAAAGCAGGAAACTGGGGAACAACATTTTTACAGCAAGTTTCTCTGATAAATGCTTCATTTCTCAAATATATAGAGAAGGGAGTCCAATTTATAAAAATATGAGTCATTCCTCAACTGATAAATTGTCAAAGGATATGAACAGGCAGTTTTCAAAAGAAGAAATCGGAGAGGATTCTAGGAAGATGGCAGAGTAGATCAGAAAATTTGAAGCTCTCAAGATTTTCCTCCACAAAAGAGATAAAATAGCACCTCTGGGCAAACTTAAGAGCCGTGAAAACAAGTAAGAGGAGAGGCAGAAGAGGGGTCCTCCTGGGACAATAGAGAAGATCTGAAGAAAAATCCTGGACCAGATTTCCTCCTTGTAAAGAGTAAACACCTTCAGGCTTGGGTCAGCTTCAACAACACGTGGCAAGCCCTGGGGTTAGCTGGTTTGGGAGGCTGCCTCTGCCCCAGCCACAGGAACTTTTACCCCGGGACAGTGAGGGGAGGTGGGTGTATGACCTGGGGAAGATAGAGGGAACCTCTGCTGACAAGAAACGCCGGACCCAGCAGTGCTGCAGAAGTAGGGTGGGGGCAAGAAGGAAACAGCACAGGCCTAGTGGAGTGCAGAAGCAGTGGGGTGGGGACGCCTCTGCTGTGGGCACTTACAGGAGGCTGGAGGTCTTGGTCTGAGTTTAAGGTTAGAAGGGTGAACTGAACGAGGATTAGAGGCACCATCCCCTATACCCCAGGACTAGAGGTGATTATAAAAACTAAATTATTACCAAAAAAATGCACAGGCAAAAGAGAAAGAATCTAACCATAGAGAGCTATTATGGGAATAGAGAAGATCGGGGTTTGTCTTCAGAAGAGGATACTGAAGCAAAGAAACCCTCTTCTACCCCAAAGAGTAATGTCAAATGGTCACCTGTCCAAAAAGAACTCACTGAAGAACTTAAAAAAGACTTTAAAAATCAAATGAGAGAGACTGAGGAAAAACTAAAAAGAAAAATAAGAATAATACAAGAAAAACAAGATTATGAAAACAAAGTCAACTAATTAGAAAAGGAGATCCAGAATCTTAAGGAAGAAAATGACTCCTTGAAAATCAGAATTGGGCAAGAGGAAGCCAGCAAAGTTATAAGAGATGAAGAAATAAAAAAAAATATAAAGAATGAAAAAATAGAAGAGAATGTGAAACATCTCATAAGAAAAACAACAGATCCAGAGAACAGATCAAAAAGAGAAAACATAAGAATAACTGGACTACCTGAAAGTTCTGATCAAAAAAAGAATCTTGATGCAATAATACAAGAAATAATTAAAGAAAATTATCCTGAAGCCTTAAAACAAGAGGGGAAAATAGAAAAAGAAAAAATCCACTGATCGCCATCTGAAAGAGATCCTATGAGGAAAACTCACAGGAATATTATAGTCAAATTTCGAAACCCCCACATCAAGGACAAAATATTACGAGCAACATGAAAAAAAATAAGTTACATACAGTGGTATCACAATTAGAATCACACAAAACTTAGCAGTGGCAACACAAAAGAACTGGGCTTCTGGCCGAAAATATTATACCCAGCAAAGCTAAGCATAATTCTGAATAAAACAAAAAAATGGACATTTGATCAATTGTTGGACTTTCAGGTCTTTGTTAAAAAAACAAATCCTGAACTCAATAGAAGATTTAACACCCGAGAGCCAAGAGAAATAGAAGGTACATACCAATGACCAATTACAAGGGACTAAAAAGTATAGAATGTTTACCTTTTATGTACGAAAAATGTAAAACCTATGTCTAAGATTATTACCAGTAATTAGGTAACTTACAAGGCAGACTGGGGTAGAACTGAGTATGATATGACTTCAAAAAGTTAAAACCATTCAAGTACAGCTAGAAGAGTAATTATCTTTTATAAATGAGATGTAAGAGGAAGAACCAGTGTAGAGGAATTAGATGGGGGAGGGGGGCTCTTAGTTCTACTCTCATGGGGAATGGGTTTAAGAGGGTAAAATACACATACATTCAGAAGAATTTAAAAGTCTTCTAAATTTAGAAAGAAAACTCTAAGGAGATAGGAAGGGGGGAGAGGATAAAGGAGGGATCTTTAGAGGGGAGGGTGTGGGAATAGGTTAAAAGGGGGACATAGAAGAGGGTTTAGTTTAGATTTAGGTGAATGCGAGGATAAAGGAAGGACTGCTGCAGTGGGGGTAGGTTAAGTAATAGTAGAGTAAGGTAGCAGGTAGAAGTAAAGTAGAGGAGTTAGGAGAGAGGAAAAATAAAGAGATATGCACAAACATAAAAACAAAGATTAGGAGTAGAATCTCTTAGGGAAAGCATATGTATATGTATGTGTATGTATGTATATATGTAAGTATGTATGTGTGTGTGTGTGTGTATATATATATATATACATGTATATAAGTGCATGTATATATCAATACCTATAAATATATCCAATGCTCAACTGTAGCCTTGGGGTGGTGGATAGGGGGGAGGGAGGGGAAAAAAAGAACAAAGTAAAAAGTGTACAGCAGAGAACAAAAGAAAACCTACAAGGAAGCAAAGAAAAGATGGACAGCTGTCAACATAATGAACAGTATTTAATATATAGGCTTTCTTGAAATGAAATTATCACTACATAATTTGAATCCTCTCCTATGTTCTGCTGTGCACATGACATTTTTGTTTTTTCTTATTTTATATTTAAGTTTACAATGTTTCTTTTCTTATGTAAGTTTTAGCATTTGTCTAAAAGAAAAAAAAGAAAAAAGAAATCAAAACTACCTATAGTCATATGAAAAAATGCTCTAAATCATTACTGATTAGGGAAATGCAAATTAAAGCAGCTCTGAGGTACCACCTCACACCTATGAGACTGGCTAACATGACAGAAAAGGAAATAGATAAATGCTGGAGAGGATGTGGAAAAATTGGGATACTAATGCACTCTTGGCAGAGTTATAAATTGATCCAGCCATTCTGGAACTATATCCCAAAGAAATCAAAGAAAAAGGAAAAGGACCAATATATACAAAAACATTTATAGCAGCTCTTTTTGTGGTGGCAAAAAACTGGAAATTGAAGGGATGCCCATCAATTGGGGAATGGCTGAACAGGTTGTAGTATGTGAATGTAATGGAATACTATTGTGCTATAAGAAATGATGAGCAGGATGCTCTTGGAAAAACCTGGAAAGACTTACACAAACCGATGCAAAGTGAAATGAGTAGAACCAGAAGGGTACCGTATATAGTAACAGCAATACTGTATGATGATCAACTGTGAATGAATTGGCTATTCTCAACAATACAATGATACAAGACAATTCCAAAGGACTCGTGATGAAAAATGCTCTCCACCTCCAAAGAGAGAACTAATAGAATCTGAGTGCAGAGTAAAGACTGAAGCATAAGCACTTTCTTTATTTTTCTTACTTTTTTTTCAATATGGCTAATATGGAAATGTTTTGCATGATTTCACACGTATAACTGATATCACTTTTTTTTGCCTTCTCAATGACTAGGGGAGGGATGGGAGGGAAAGAATTCAGAACTCAAAAATAAAAAAAAATGAAGCTAAAAATAAATAATAAATTTGGAGGGAAAAAAGAAATTACTGTGATAGAAAAACAAAAGACATCAGTGAAAATTTTTAAAATTTCATTTGAATGTAAAGAAAATAATATTTTTAAAATCCCAGCCCAGAATTGCACAGACGTGGTGTAAGCAAAGAGATATATGCCAAGGAAAGAGCAGTACTCCATGGCAAGCCAGCATGCTCCCCTGGCTTCTCTATACTCTGTCTAGTGGAAGGCCTCTAGCACACTGGGTGGGCCTCCTGTGCAGAAATGGGAGGAGATCATGGATAAAAGTGGTCCAGGGTGGACCACAATCTGCACAGGTAAAGGCAAGGCCCATACTGCTGAGAGCACAGATGCATCAAAGTCATGAAATCTGGAATATGGCTTTTTATTTATCAGGGACAGTTATCAAATGTTTCAATTCCCTTCCCCCCATACCGACCCATTTCATTCAGGAGGTAGCAGCTATTTAGTACTGACCCCAACGCCACTAAGGGAGATATAAGAAGAAGAGGCCTTGACTGCAGGTCAGAAAAGTGCCAACTAGAACCAGCCCTGGATTCAGGAGGACCTGAGTTCAAATCTGGCCTCAGACACATACGACTTACTAGCTGTGTGACCCTGGACAAGTCACTTAACCCCATTGCCTAGCAAAAAAAAAAAAAAAAAAAAAAGAAAGAAAGAAAGAAAGAAAAGCCCCAACATTTACCGTATCTGATGCTGAGTGAGGACTGCCCGGCCTTCGCTGTCCAGAGCCCGCAACTCATCTTCAGTGAACTCCTCCGTGTTCCCGTAGGAGCCCACAGCGCCCTGGTGATTGGTCAGTAGGCTGGTCAGGCCTTCTTCTGCTGCCCCTGGAGTGGCATTATTTTTACAGAAGGTGGCCACACCTGGCAGGGTGGGGGAACAACAGGCAGGCACAGAGACGATGAGCCACAGAATGAATGATAAAAGAGATTAAGGGACTCCGAGCTTGGAAGCCATCAGCTCCACGCTCATTGCTTTCGGTTTTTGGAGTGGGGTGAGGGACTGTCCATCATACAGAAAAGGGAAGGGGCCTGTCCATGAGCAGGAGGGCAATCAATCAATCAACATTAAATACTTACTATGCATCCTATAGTGTGCTAAGTGCTAGGGAGATAGGCAGAAATAGTCCCTGTCCTCAAGAAACTTACAATCCAGTGGGGGAGACATGATGTGAATAATTAATAACACACAAAATACATACAGAGTATGGAGAAGGTATCTTTAGAGAGGAAAACGCTAGAGACAACTAGGTGTAGCAGTGGAGAAATAGGGGAGTCAGGAAGATCTGAGTTCAAATCCTGCCTCCAGACACTTACTAGCTGTGTGACCCTGGGCAAGTCACTTCACCTGTTTGCCTCAGTTTATTCACCTGTAAAATGGGGTAAATAATAGCACCTCCCTCCCAGGGTACTTGTGAGAACCAAAGTAGATAATATTTGTAAAGCCCTTACTTAGTACAGTGCCTGGCATACAGTAGGTGCTTAATAAATGCTTGTCCCTTTCCCTAGCATCTAGGGACATCAGGAAAGGCTTCCTGCAGAAAGAAGCATTTGAACTGAGTCTTGAGGGACGCCTGGGATTTTAAGAGGAAGAGGTGAGGAGGCAAAACAAAGCACAACTGGAAAAAGTCTTCCAAGGCCTCATTGCCTTCTGCATCCACACCCTGGGGGGGGGATGGGCAGGGAAGGAGGGAGGGAAGGAGGGAGGG